GCCATCATGACCTCGTCTTACACAATTGGTGTCAGAAGGCACAGGAAGGCAGAAGACGCAGCCAATGGGGAAGGGGCACCTGGCATATTGTGTCACATCAGAGACAAAAAGACCGGATGTCCGTGCTGACACACAACTTGGGAAAGCAAGCATTGAATTAGGTCATTCCCTTGACGAGACAACATTTAATGCGGTAAGGCTCAAAAGAGAAAGACAATAAATGTCCCTGATACTGGGCATTTATTACTCTCTTGCCGAGAAGAGCTCATTGAATATTCGGCAGGCCGATGACGACGCATTGATTGCTCGGGGTCCCGAGCAATTAAGAGAGAAGACATTCCTCATAGGAATCAGTGTGCACGTTGCCTGTACCTAATGATCACCTACTGACCACACTGACAGCAATCATGAGTTTTGAGGTATAAATACTCCTCGCAAAAGGCAAAACGGTACGCAACAAAAAACCTATACTCAGTGTTTTCTTCTTCCCCCCTCTCAAATACTGACTTGATCGTCGGAGGGGATACGCCGAAAAACACTCTGATGCCCTTCTAACTTGTCTTTCTTTGTTCCAGGAACCTTCCTGAGCCTTACTGGATCGCTCCGTTGATCCACGTGGGTATTCCATTATCGTTCCAGGTTACCACAGGACCTCACAGGCTCTTCCCAATAGCAAGGTTGACCATTTGATTGACTCACTCGAGTTCACCACGGGAGAGATCTGTTCTCGTATGTATATTGTGTAAGATCCTGCACACACAAAAAATAATTTAAAACTAATATTAGGGAAATATTGAAGAGAGGAATAAGAAAGGGTGGGAAATAAGAGACATTAGTTCTTTTATTAAGGTTATTTATATCAATTAAAATTTTTTCACTTTTGTTGATATTTTAAAGTAGTATTTAGTAGTAATGTACATGTACGTGATTTCTTTTAATATTTAATTTTCACCATACAATTAAATTTGTCTCTCAATTCACTGAGTTTATTGGTTCAATATGAATCTCACTCTTTGATAAATTAAAATGACAAATATTATATGCATGTGACAATTAAATATTTTGGGATTAAGAGCATAACAAATCATAATAATCATGAGGTATTTATTATCTTATTAAATCAGTAAAAAAATAATAACCTCAACATGGGTCTGTTCAATACACAAAGCGTACAGTGCAATAATTCGAGACATCAAACAATCTCCTACACTCAAGACAGACTATGTCAGAATATTGCACTACAATCATACTGATGGTATGTCAAATTCCATCTAATATTGTGGACACATACACATATTATACAAGGATCCGATAATCTAATTTTCTGTGCATAAGCTGAATTATACATCAGATTATCTGCAATATAAAATATAAGATACACATGCACACCATATATTAAATATAATACAAATATTTTGCCCATATAGATTCTCAATAAAATGAAAAAAAAAAACTTCTATTAACAAAACGAGTTTCACTACAATAAACAAGCTTTTAGTATATTACTATATCAATTCTCCCACTTATACTCAAAATCATTCTGTAATACATCTAACTCTTATTCCCTCCACATAACTATCAAAATTCTTTGCTGGTAAGCTCTTTGTGAAGGGTTCTGTCAGGTTGTTTGCTGATGCAATCTTGGTCACAACTACATCACCTCTTCCCACGATATCTCATATAAGGTGATATTTGTGCTCAATGTACTTTCCCTTCTTATGGGTTCATGGTTCCTTCGAATTAGCAACTGCTCCGCTATTGTCACAATAAAGTGTAATAGTCAATTTTATCGAGGGTACTACTTTTAAATCCATTAAGAAGTTTCTAATTCAAATTGCCTCTTTGGTTGTTTCAGAAGTCGCCATGTACTTGACTTTCATGGTGGAATCAGCAATACAAGATTGCTTGATACTCCTCCAAGTTATGGTTTCACGTCTTAGAGTAAACACATATCCTGAAGTTAACTTTCTAGAATTCTTATCAGACTGAAAATCAGAGTCCGTGTACCCAATGGGTATTAGACTATCTGCATGGTAAACTAACGTATAATCTCTTGTCATTTTTAGGTACTTGAAAATATGCTTTATTGCACTGGGTTAGACTGATATCTACTAAACATGCTAACGACAAAACAAATATCACATCTAGTGCAAAGCATAGCATATATGAGACTTCCCATTACAAAAGCTTAAGGAATTGTCTTCATTCGCTCTATCTCTTTAGGTGTCTTAGGACACTGCTCATTTGACAGAGAAATTCCGTGTCTGAAAGGAAAAAATCTTCTGTTGGAATTTTGCATGCCAAAATGGGTTAGAATGATATCGATATAGTCAGCTTGAGATAAACCTATCATCCTATCTTCACGATTTCGCATAAGCTTAATCCCAAGGATGTAAATAGCCTTTCCCAAATCCTTCATATCGAACTGATTGGATAACCATACCCTAACAAAAGATAATACCCTCACATTGTTTTCGATGAGCGAGATATCATCAATGTAAAGTATTAGAAACACCACCACATTCCTGTCATGCCTTTTATACACACAGGACTAATCAGGATAATACCCTCACATTGATCTTTTTATAGATATATTTACAACACTATCATGAATATTGAGTGCACATTTGAGAAGGAAGAGAGGAATTGTATTTGTAATCCTAATTCTTACTATTTTCTATGTTTGTTTCTTTGTTTTTTATGTTACTTCGATTTAGTTGGTTATTTCTATTTAAGGCTCCCCATTGGGCCAAACCGGGCTTACAAAAATAGCTCATGGGCTACGGAGTTTTCTAGGCTTCGAAGAATCAGCGCATGAGTTTATTTGAGACCATAAGATGGATTTGTTGAAACTTACCATGTTTTATATTATAGCTAGATTATAGATTGGACATTTTTCTTTATATCCATCATACTAAACCCCTTATAACCCATCAAACAAACTGCCCCTAAGATCTTTGTTTCATAACAACAAGATTCATTTTTTTAGAGGGTGTTTGGTATAAGTATTACGAGGAAGGATTGGACAAAATTCGATTTGTTTTGATTGCAGATGCTATTAACTTACTAAGCACTTTATTACTTACTAAGTCAGAAAAGAATCAATGTTACTCCATGTTTTCAGAACGGTTTGACTTGTGGAATTTTTTATAAGTCCTTAACTTACGAATTGTTTTATTATTTACAACGACAATCATTTTTGCCATTGTTGGACAATAACGTACAAAAATATTCTTGTTGTCAACGAACATGGATAAAAAACAAATTAACATTAACTTTATCATTTGAAACTGACATTCCCCATGAACAGAATTAGTATATAATAGTGCCAGTAAATTGTTTATGTCATCAAAGACTGCAAACTTGCATTCTAGATCCACCTTTCTGGATCTAGAACATAAATTGAAAGAAAAGAAAGAAAGAAATGTTGATTTTTATTATAATACTTCAAAGTATAAATAATAATAAAAATTAGATGAAAAAACACAACTTTTAATCTAACAGTTATATTTCTAACTGCATCGATGCTCCCTTCTGGATTACTGGTCACAATGACAACCTCAGCTCCCCAATTTCTAGCTGCATCGATGCTCATTGAAAAACTTATTTTAAAGTTTCAAATTTAATAGTCAAAAAATATAATTTTTTTTCAAATGAAGGGTGGATGGATTGGCTCTTGGGTTGGGTTTAAACGAGTTTTTTCGAGCGGACTATTGGACCAGGCTTCGGAACGAATAATGAGTTTAAGGGCAAACTCATTATCCTGATATTTGTGGGGTCTACATTATGTCTTGGGTATTGAGGTGCTATCACAGTCTTGAGAATTAATTTATTCTAACAGAAGTATATTGTTGACCTTCTCAAACGGTCAAAGTTTGAGGACATTAGACCCATTGATACACATGGCATCATCTTTGAACCTTATCAAGACAAGTGACAAACCACTTCTTAATCCACAACAATACTGAAACATTGTCAATACTCTTCAATAGGTTATTTTAAAACGACCAGAATTTAGCCTTTTCTATCAACAAAGTGTGTTAGTTCATGTAAAATCCAACCACCGGTCATTGGCAAGCAATCAAACGGATTCTTAGGTATATAGCATGGCCTTTTCCTAAGCAAATCAGCTTCCCATGATATTCAAGCCTCCTTTTGTGATGCAGATTAGGAAAGGTATCCAAACGATTGTCGATCAATTGATGGGCATCAAAACACACACACAAATACTCAAATACTCATGCTAATACTACACCAAACACACACACACTGCCTATGTCTTTTTTTTGGTGTTCGAGTATGTGTGTGTTCATTTTTTGTCGGGGTGTGTGTGTGTTTTTAGTGTATAAGTGGGTGTGTTTGTGTATATGAGTGTTTGTAATTTAGTTTATTATTGTGGCGTGAATGTTGTGTGTTTTAGTGTATGCATTTTATGTATTTGAGTATTTATGTGTGTGAGTGTGTGTTTTGATGTATTAATGTGTGTTTGTTTGTGTGAGCAGCTTTTGGTATATTAGTGAGTTTGTGTCTTTTGTTGTGTATTAGTGTGTCTGTGTGTGTTTGATGATGAGGTAGCTGATGAGTATCAATTGGCAACTGGATTTCTTTTTTTGTTGAATTAGTTGTTGTTTTGCTAGTTGTATTATACTAGACCGAACTTAGTTTTGTTTCCGTTGTTTATTTTGAGAATTAGTTGGCATGGGTGATTGTCTAGTCATTAAATGTTCTCATAGTTTTTGCTCTTGCCATTACGTCGAATGCCTTTTGTCCATAAACAGATCAGCCGGATTTTCTAAACCTTTTATTAATAGACCGACAAGTCTTTTTCTACTAAACTAGTTTTAACGTTGATCACACCGTTTTGAAAAAAACAAAAATAGAGCATGACATAAACACACACTCAATAAGAAATATGCTTATAATAAAAAGGAAGCCAAGTACAAGAGTCTCATGGCATTACGACATTTGAGAATAATGCAAGGTTTTAGAATTTTTCGAGGCTACCTATCGAAGGAATAATCTGCAGGCACAGCTAAAGAAACACATGGTGAGTTAATCTGAGGAATAGTGTATGGTCCATCCAACAAACTTTTGGACATCAAGCTATATGCTGCCTCTGTTAAGTGATAACCATCCCAGTCAACATATAAGGAAGGGTTATCACAACCAAGAAATGGTCTATTACCACACAGCACATCTTCGTTGAAATTGTAAAGGCCTCCCGTTCCACAGCATGCTACTATAGCTCCTCTCGTGAATCCTACAATAACAAGTAATTAAGCGTCACTACAATTAAGTAAATACAAATGCTCGTATGTTTTGAAAAATAAATTGTGCATTTTTTCGGGTTTATTTACGGATGCATATAAAAGAAGGGGTGAAGGAAGTAGTACCATATTTTTGTGGGGAATGATAAAGTGGCATCANGTATAAGTGGGTGTGTTTGTGTATATGAGTGTTTGTAATTTAGTTTATTATTGTGGCGTGAATGTTGTGTGTTTTAGTGTATGCATTTTATGTATTTGAGTATTTATGTGTGTGAGTGTGTGTTTTGATGTATTAATGTGTGTTTGTTTGTGTGAGCAGCTTTTGGTATATTAGTGAGTTTGTGTCTTTTGTTGTGTATTAGTGTGTCTGTGTGTGTTTGATGATGAGGTAGCTGATGAGTATCAATTGGCAACTGGATTTCTTTTTTTGTTGAATTAGTTGTTGTTTTGCTAGTTGTATTATACTAGACCGAACTTAGTTTTGTTTCCGTTGTTTATTTTGAGAATTAGTTGGCATGGGTGATTGTCTAGTCATTAAATGTTCTCATAGTTTTTGCTCTTGCCATTACGTCGAATGCCTTTTGTCCATAAACAGATCAGCCGGATTTTCTAAACCTTTTATTAATAGACCGACAAGTCTTTTTCTACTAAACTAGTTTTAACGTTGATCACACCGTTTTGAAAAAAACAAAAATAGAGCATGACATAAACACACACTCAATAAGAAATATGCTTATAATAAAAAGGAAGCCAAGTACAAGAGTCTCATGGCATTACGACATTTGAGAATAATGCAAGGTTTTAGAATTTTTCGAGGCTACCTATCGAAGGAATAATCTGCAGGCACAGCTAAAGAAACACATGGTGAGTTAATCTGAGGAATAGTGTATGGTCCATCCAACAAACTTTTGGACATCAAGCTATATGCTGCCTCTGTTAAGTGATAACCATCCCAGTCAACATATAAGGAAGGGTTATCACAACCAAGAAATGGTCTATTACCACACAGCACATCTTCGTTGAAATTGTAAAGGCCTCCCGTTCCACAGCATGCTACTATAGCTCCTCTCGTGAATCCTACAATAACAAGTAATTAAGCGTCACTACAATTAAGTAAATACAAATGCTCGTATGTTTTGAAAAATAAATTGTGCATTTTTTCGGGTTTATTTACGGATGCATATAAAAGAAGGGGTGAAGGAAGTAGTACCATATTTTTGTGGGGAATGATAAAGTGGCATCACAGCATTGTAATAATCAGCATAGATGATGGTGGCATGAGGATGAAGCTCTCGAATCTCATTTAGTTCTCTTTGTAGCAGTTCATTGTGATGCTCAGTCAACTTGTTGAGCCAAATAAGGCAATCCATTGAGTCATACTCTGTCTTATCAGAAGTTTCGAATTTTGTCAGATAGGCTGCTAAACAGCCAAATGGTATCATCCCAGGGACTACTAGTGTCACAGCCCCAAGATCAATTAGTTCCTAAATTGCAATGAAAAAGTTAATTTTACAAAATTTACCCTGTTAACATGATTTAACTTCTGTTTTTTTTTTTTTTTACACACCCACACTCACACATACACTTATACAACAAAACACATGTACACACACACTAATACACCAGACCACACACACTCACACTCTAACACTTCACAATACAAACAAATATACCAAAAAAATAAATACACACAAATACATCAAAAATACAATACTAATACATCAAAAATTATATACAACAATAAACAAAAATATGCAGACACCCACAAACTAATTTGTTTATCAAACATATTTTTGCTAAGATTGAAATGTACTTTGAAAACGCATTACCTTTTGGACGCTAAGATTGAAATGTTGAAACTACAAAACCACGCCATTTTTTATAAAAGAAAAAAAAAATTGCATTAGAAAAGTCCATTTACGCCATTCTTCAAATAGCAAGCTTAGATTCTTACGTTGATGGCTGAACCGATGGCTTTAGCTACAAGAGGCACAAATGATTGAACCTCATCTATGCTGGCATTTGAGTAGAATGAACGGCTATAGTCATTCCCTCCAAATGGTCCCAATAGAAATAGAGAGCTCTGAAGGAATTCATTGCAACCTACACATTATCATAATAGTATTAAGAACAGATGCTGGTGCATTTACTATGTTTCGTTTGGTACAATGGAAAAATAAAAGGATGAAAATGAATAATTTTTCTCTTGAATGATAGAATGTGTATCACTGTTACTTTTCATCCTTATATTTTTACATCCATCCTCCCAAACGGACCTTAATACTTTGTTTGGTATAATGGATACATGGGAAGATAAAAAAGTGAAATGATTGAAATTTAGAAGGGTAGATAAAATATCATATTTGGTAAGGATGAAAAAGTGGAAGAATTAAACTATCTTCCATCTCACTAAAATCTAACTCTCCAAAATTGGGAGAAAATATGGATGGAAAGTTAGTTATGTGGATTTAAATTTATGTTATTAACCTTTATATCTTTAATATATGTATACATCCTATTTATTTATTACATATTATGTATACATTAATTTGATACATATATAAAATAGTAAAATATGTGCCTATACTTTTTTCATCTTTTCATTTTCCATCTTTATCAAACACAAGAGGAGTAAAATAAGGATTCCTTCCATGAAAAATAAAAAATGTATCAGTCTTTTTCATCCTTCCATATTTCTATCCTCCCTACCAAACATGCCATGTTACTAAGAATAACAACCAAATACATGCCATACTGGCAAGAACTTTGGTTCAGAATCTCTACGGATGCCCTTTGATTAGCATATTTATCTTCTTCTTCTTTTCTTTTTTTGTGTTTTTAATTTTACAATTAAAATTATTTGCAATTGGCTATCGATTGACTCTATTTTCCTGCCATTGCCCTCTTTGAAAATAAATAGAAGAATTATCTTACTTTTTCTGATTAGGAGAAATAAAATAATAGAACTTCACTTTAGCACCAGTAGTTAGACCCATTTACACCCCCACCACTTTACATTCTAATATACTCATTTGAAATATGCTATAAAATACTTTAGGGTTAATAGTACTTTTAATCCTTAAAATATGTATTTTTTATTAGTTTAATTATTATTGTATTAATTTAGTCAATTTAGTCCTTCAAGTATTCAATTAATGTCATTTTAGTCTTTAACAGATGGAGCGTTAAGTTTTTGACTGAATAATTATGTATTGATCACGTGATATTGTCTAAAAAATAATGACACGTGGTCACTTCCATCAAAAAAATTTGACAGATTGTCTAATTAGGGACAAAAGTGATAGAGATTGAATACTTTAGGAATCAAATTGATAAAATTGATACAATAAGAACTAAACTGACAAAAAATACAAACTTTAAGGACTAAAAGTGTTATTAACCCAATATTTTATGTATAACTTAGATGCTAACTCAACGCCGATCATGATACTTTAATAGTTCAATATAAGGGTGTTCATGGGCCGAGTTAGGCCCGCAAAATTATTTTAAGGGCTGGATAGTGTAGGTTCAAGGCCTTAATTAAGTGAGTTAATGGGAGGGTCGGACAAGACTTCGAATAGTTGTAGGCTACCTGCAGCCCAACCTGCGAGTATATTCGTCGGCCTAGTGGGTGGGCCTGCTCACGGGCTTTTTTATATACAACTTCATTTAAAATTTATAAATTCTTTTGAATTTTAATATTTGTGAAAATTATAGTTTTGAATTAAAAGTAGAGTTAAAATGGATAAAAATAAAATAATGAATAATTTTATTTTTTATTAGGGAATTAACTGCATCTAATAGAATAAATACATCTTAACTAAGTTGATACCTACTCACTTATCTATTATTTGCATTATTGGACCTTTTAAAACTTATATACTTAACACATGGAAAAGAAAATAATACATTTTTTATATTATTTAAATTTTTAAAATTTCAAATTCCGATATTGAGAGACTTATTTCAAAGTTTCAAATTTGATAGTCTAAAAGTATAATTATTTTTCAAAAGGCGGGCGGGCGGGCTCTGAGGCTGGATTTTAACGAATTTTTTGAGACGGGTTATTCAGTCGAACTTTGGGCCAGATAATAGGTTTGATGGAAACTTAAACCCTTTTTAAAGGATATTGAACTCGGACGGGCCAACTATCAGACCTATTTTTTCAGATCGAATAACAGTACCCGTAAGTAAACTGAAAATAAATAGAAGAATTATCTTACTTTTTCTGATTAGGGGAAATAAAATAAGAAAACTTCACTTTATTCCCTGCAGTTAGACCCATTTACACCCCCCTTTACGTTCTAATATACTCATTTGAAATTGCCTCTGTTGAAATATGCTATAAAATACTTTTGGGTTAATAGTACTTTTAATCCTTAAACGATGCATTTTTTGTTAGTTTAATTATTATTGTATCAATTTAGTCATTTTAGTTCCTAAAATATTCAATTAATGTCATTTTGGTCCCTACATAGATGAAGCGTTAAGTTTTTGACGAAATAATTATGTATTGAGCATGTGATACTATCTAAAAAATAATGACATATGGTCACTTCCGTCAAAAAAACTTGACAAATTGTCTGAATAGGAACCAAAGTGACAGGGATTGAATACTTCAGGAATCAAATTAAAAAAATTGATACAATAAGAATTAAACTGACAAAAAATACAAACTTTAAGGACTAAAAATATTATTAACCCAATATTTTATGTATAACTTAGATGCTAACTCAACGCCTATCATTATGGACTTTAATAGTCCACTATAGGGGTGTCCATGAGCCGGGTTAGGCTCACGAAATTTTTTTCGGGCTTGGATAGTATAGGGCCAATCTCTTATGTAAATGAATTATCGGATGGGCCAGACAAGGCTTCGAATAGGAGTAAACTACCCGCAGCCCAACCCGCGAGCATATTGGGCGGCTTGCTCGCGGGCTTTTTTATATACGACTTCATTTAAACATAATGAATTCTTTTGAAATTTAATATTTATGTAAGTTATATTTTTGAATAAAAAATAGAGTTAAAATTGATAAAAATAAAATAATGAATAATTTTATTTTTGATTAGGGAATGAACTACATCTAATAGAATAAATACATCATAAGAGCATCTCCAACAAATGCTTCAAATGGACAAAGTAACTAAAATTTAGTTATTTTAGAGCAAAACTTCATCTCCAACAGATGTTGTTCATATTATGTAAAATGCATATTTGCTACAGTGACACTCTAAATGTAGAGTGCCACTGTAGTAATATGTAAACATTTATATATATTATTTTCTCTCTCTTCCTCATATTTCTTTCATTCTCTCTCTCTTCCTCATATTTCTTTCATTCTCTCTCTTTGTCCCTTTCACTATTCCCAAAAAATATAAAACAAAAGGGATGATAAATAATATTTAAAAAGAATAGTTAAAAATATAGAGAATCTGTTGGAGTGTGTATTGAAAAAATGAGTAACTAAAATAAAAAAAAAGTAATTTTTTGAGTAGCTAAAATAACTACTATTGTTAGAGATGCTCTAACTAGGTTGACACCTACTCACTTATCTATCATTTGCATTATTTTACCCTTTAAAACTTGTATGCTTAACATATGGAAAAAAAAATAACACATTATTTATATTATCTAAAATTTTAAAATTTCAAATTCCAATATTGAGAAGTTTATTTCAAAATTTCAAATTTAATAGTCTAAAAGTATAATTTTTTTTTCAAAAGAAGTGTGGCACGGGTTGGGCTGGGCTAGGTTTGGTGGGTGGGAGGGCTCTTGGGCCGGATTTTTTTGTATAGGTTATTGGGCCAAACATTGGGCCGGATAATGGATTTAAGACAAACTCAAGCTCTCTTTTAAGGATATTAAGCTTGGGCCGGTCAACTATCTTTGCCTATTTTTTTCAGACGGGATAACAGGACTCGTGAATAACCTAGCCCATGGTCACCCCTGGTGCAATATCATAATTGCTTGTATTATAAAATACTACAAAATACTTTGCGTATACTACATAATTGCTTGTATTAGAAAATACAACAAAATACTTTGCAAATAACTCGGGTTTAGCCCGTATCATGATGTACTTAATAGTCCAATATCATGGGTCCGAAATTGCTTGTATTTAGAGAATGCTACAAAATATTTTGCATATAACACATGGCACAATGACTGTCATGATGTACTTTAATAATCCAAATATTGTGGGTCCTTAATTTTGACTTACTTGAGGATGAATTGCAGAGAGATGTCAATGTTTCTTTGAACCAAGCCAATTGAACTTTGAGAGATACATTTGTGATACCATTGTGGATTCCTCTTTCTTCATAGAATGCTATATCCAGTGTTGGAGCTCCTATAACTGCAAAATTCACACCCTTCCAAAAATTTGCTCTTTTTTCATTCTTCCATTCAACATATGGTGGTACCAGTGGAAGTCCATAATATTCAGCTGCAAAAAAACCAAATGATATTTTTGTGTATAACACCATGTGCTTGTATTTATTTTTGTGTATACAACCATGGTTTTGAAAATGTTAACGGGCGTAATGAGAATGAAAACTGGAAATGTGAATTTTTATTTTTCACTCACTTTTTTGGTCTAAAATTTAGATATGTACATATTTTAGGTTCAAAATCAAGGAAACAAGAACTTTTCTAATACTATTAATGCACGATGTGTGTTGCAAGTAAATAAATTTAAATAATATTTGGTTATAAATGTGAATTATATGTATAATAAAATTAAATAATAAATTAGGCAATGAATAATTAATTCGTATTTTAATTATTGCTGAATTTATTACTTTATTCTATAAGGTTTTGAGAACTTAGCCTGTCATTAATTTAGTGATTTCTTTTTATTTTGTTAAATAAATTGATAGGATTGCTTATAATATTATTATATTATTTCATATTAAAAAATAAAATATAACATATATTTGACTGTGGAATTTAATAACTACATGAGCATGTTTGTTTTGAGTATTGCTCTACATGGGATTAAGAAAATGTATTCTTTACATTTCCAATACCAATAGAAATTAGCACCGGTAATAAAAAGTATTTGAATCCACTCTCATATTTGTTTGTTCAATAGTTACTATGGTGGATCTCATAAACAACCATCTATTTTATTACATCTTATATAACAAATATACAATTTTACCATTAATATTATCTATTTCATTACTCCGTTTGTGTAACATTTTTGTACAATGTTAGGTATAATACATGGTAAGTCAATTCATGCCCAAAAAATTCTGAATAATGTAAGAAATTCAAATAAAAAATAAAAAATCTAATGTCATGAATCGGTGACACCGTAAAATTTTTTTTTTTTTAAAAAGGGTACGCTTAAACATAATACAAGAAAAAAAATTAAAATAATACACAGGAGGGTATTTGTGTCATTTTTTTTACTTGTACTATCGATGGATTTATTCCAGCAAATAATACCACTTTATAGCTGGTATTCATTAAAGCCATGTACAAGAATTAAATGTTACTGTACAAATCAGGTCGGTATTACAACCAGAAAAATAGTACTGCATATAGAATGTCAACCAAATAAAGTAATAGTTGAGCCCTAAGTACTATTTCTTGTTATCTCGGCCTATAATACTACTAAAACTCCCAAACAAACATGCTTTGGAGTTTAACATATATAGAACATGTATATAATTATTTAACATATATAGAACTTTACTTTTTTATATAGAAAATTAAAAAAAAATTAGAATTCCTAATAAAAGAGTCTAAAGCAAGTTGAAAGTCAAATAAAAGTAAAAAAAAAAAATTTAAAAGTAAAGAATTACGATACGAAGTGAGACGATAAAAAGTTAAATCTTTAGAACTATGATACCCAGTTATGTACCGATAAAATCGATGATGAGACGACCATCCGAGCTACGGCCAGTGGGAACATGGAAGAAGGTTTCTCCATAGGGTGGAAAGGCCTCGTGGGGAGGATCGTCAGGTGGGTCAATTTTAACTAGGTTTCCGGTGTCAGTGAGTGAATCACCGAAGCCGAAGATGGATGTGTAGCATCCAGTAGCATTTTTGCTGGAAGTTACAAGTATAAGGAAAGCATATGCGTAGGAGTTTACTAGTGAAAGTGACAGCCAAGAAGAGGATGAAGCCATTGCTAAGGGTGTCTGCAATTATTGAGACTTGAGAACATTCAACCTATAAGTAAATAATTCGGTATCATATGTGGATCCCATCTCTTTCACGTGGTTTTGCTCAAGAGAATTGAACGTTGAAGGACAGTTGAAATCTACACAGCCACACCTAGTGGGAACCAATAAGTTTTATTGATTGATTAAATGGTTTGTAGCACTTTTAATACTTGAAGTATATATATTTTTTATCAGTTTAATTTGTATTATATCAGTTTTATCAATTTATTTTATAAAATATTTAAGTTGTGTCATTTTAGTTTTTATATAAGCTGACTGTTAAATTTTTGATAGAATAATTACATGTTGGGTACGTAATATTATCTAAATAAAATGATATGTGGTCATTTTTGTTAAAAAATTGACGAGTTGTCTTGTTTGGGATTAAAGTGACACAGATCGAATACAATAGGGATCAAATTGACAAAATTAATATAATAAGTATTAAACTTACAAAAACTATATATTTTCAAAATTAAAAGTATTTTTAACGCTAAATTGAATTTCACCAAAACTTCAAATTTAAAGTATCCGAGTCCGCTATTAACTGTACTATTGTCTATCGAGTAAACTTCAATTGTCCACTTTAGGCTACGTCGGGTTAGTCAGAAATTTTCAATACTCTGGTTCAAATTGGAAAAAAAAATAATTCAATTTAAATTCGAGTTTGGGATAGGATTTTATAGGTTGTAACCAAAATTTGTGAATTGGGTTGGACAAATTTTGTGAATTTGTAAATGATTTAAGTTGAAGTCGAATTCATATTGGATTGGTGTTAAGGGTTGTCTGCGTCAAAGTCTCAATTACTCCCCTACTCATTTCTCAAAGATAATTTTTGCTATTGACCGTTTGTTACAACTACTACTTTGCTTTGAATTTCACCTAACATAATTAACTAAATAATTATACACATTAGTATTGTGATCTTGGATGTGCGAATGGGCAGTTATACGAATAGTTTTCGAAACATACAAAAAACAGCTATTACTGGTACAGAATAATTGCTATCAGAGTAATGAAGAATAGTTTCCCTTGTTTGGGATTCTCATCATAACAGTTGTGAAAGATGATTACTTTTTCACTCTCCTTCAAGGCACGTTTAACACATTTAATGAAATCTTCCAGAGAAGTTAAATGTTCCTCCTTAGTATTTAGAGCTTGTAGTTGGACTTATTGACCAGTTGTAGGTTTTGTACCTATTCTCAAGTAATTAGAGATTATTTTATTTATAGGTTAGGTGTATGTACTGTGCAAACTTTGTGAATATTGTTTCGTGTGATTTTTTTAGAGTATTTTAAATTTTATTGTATATCTTATTTTTTGATTTAGTAAACTTATTTACCTTCGACAAAAACACAAGATTATTTACCATGTTCCAACGTGGTCCAGATCAAGAAAAGACAACCCCCCAGTCTTTCAAACTTGGACCAAAATAATTCCTTGAATTTTGTAGATGTATTTATTATTATTTTAATAGTTATTTTTATAGTATTTATAACCGATTTTAATATTTTTACGATCTATTGCAAGTATCACAAAAGTGATAAAAATATTTACCACAATAATAATAAAAATATTCACAAAAATTATAAATGACAATATGATACTATTTTTTTTGGTACCGTAAACTATTACTCTTATTAGAAAAAGTTTAAAGTTTTATTTGTTTTATTTTTTTAATCAATTTGCTTGATCTATATGATTTATTAGGAATTCTTTTTTTTCGAATCATAATCTAAAAAACATATACTCAATATTTGATTTTCGATCACAAAAAAAAATTATATATTATTGATAATACCCAAAAAGTACAAAGGCGAGCAAGGGTGATCAGCTCAGAACTACTTGGCTCGGTATCTCAACCCACTCTTGGTGACCAAGGAGCTCAAGGTCAGTGCCCCTCCTCCAATAACAATACCCTTGCCAAAGACAATTGTCTTCCACCAAGGCACCATACAAGTTGTAACCATTGTAATTCCAAGCAGAAGATTCGCAACTGCCTCAACACCTATCACAACTGTTGCATACTAAAAGCAATTGGAACACGAGAGAAGCGAGGATTTTGCCATAGATCAAGCGAGGTCTGGAATCAATTATAAATAAGAGACGCAGCTCTCAATAGAAAGTACAAGCAATTGTAGTCTTACTCAAAAAAATTTATAAAATCCCCCATTGTCAATACATTTTTCAGGAGTAAGAGACTCTTTTGAGAGTGGATTAGCCGAGTTCCTAGGCGGATAAACCACTATAAACCTTCTGTGTGATAATCTCATTCCCCTGATCCAATTTTCAAGAGACTCGGAGTTCAGACTGAACAATTCAGTGCACATTGAATCCAATATTCTATTTTGTCGTGTTATAAACATCATCAATTATTATGTTGAGAATTAAGTTTCATTCTTCCCTTGATGTGTATAATTTTTAGCTGAATTTTTTATTCTAGACACAAAATTAACTTTTGTTGTGAATAAAAATCTACAAAAAGTAGTGCAATTAATTTTTTATTTTTCACAACTGAATGGATAATTTGGAGTGGAAATCTTATTTTGCATCCCGAAATATTTAAATTTTGCCACGGAACATTCCGTGAATAAGAAATTAAAAAAAAAGAAAAAGAAAAGCAAATCAATAATGAAAGTTGATGACTGTTAGGTTTTCTTTTTTATGGAATTCGTCAAGAAGGATAGTTTGTTAGTATTGAAGACAGTTATTCGAGAATTAGGATCTTGGAGTTATAGACATCTTAATGCAATGGTTTGTGAGCTAGTGGGCTAACATCCACTCAGTATTTTTTTGGTGCCTCATAGGTTTATGGGCACTGAGTCCTCCCAGAAGCAAGTACAATGTGAGACACATAAAAGATGAGGATTGTGACGACTCATAAGAGCAATTTTTGCATGCAATGCTTGAGGAGAGGAGTGGATTAGAATCAATTTGGGATGTTGTTCACACATAAATGGAGTTAATTTGTTAAATAGTAAAAGAATTCAAAGGATCCTAATATATTGTGGATAGGTCTATTAGGGATCTCATAGAAAACATAGAGATTTAGTAACATCTCAACTATTTTGGATAGCCTTAGGGTGTGTGTGTGGGTTATATGAACACTATGTCACTTCTGCTTTTAAGAAGAAGTGTTGTAAGTGTCCTCTGATAAAAAAAAAAAGAAACTATTTTGGATAACCACATTTTATCCCATAGATAGGGTTGAATACCAATATAATCTTTTACCTAATAGATGTCTAGATAATGACACATCAATGTAACTTTTCGGTTAATGATCGTAGGCATGCACAGTATGTCGAACTACGTATCTCTTTGTGTCTTGTTTTTCATATTTTGTTTATACTAGTAATTAGGTGTGTCAATTGTGTCGAATTAAAGGGTTACGTGTCGGGTTAAAATGGATGATGGGTAAAAAATATTTACACCCATACACGACATGTTTAATAAACAGATGAAAAACCTCACCACGAATATGAACTGTTTGATAAACAGATATATAGCACGACACAACTCGTTTAACCCGTTTAATTTTTTTTTAAATGAATTATATCAACAAATTTTAATACTCCACTTTTTTTACTGCCAACTATATTTGTTTCAAAACAGAGAAATTTCTAACCAAATCTCATGTGAAAGTTAAACTTGACTGTCTTTTATAAGCAAGTTAGCCCTCCTCATCTCCCCTCATTTGACAAAAACAAAAGATATTGGAATGCGTTTGTCTCAAAATTTTCTTTTAAATGTTTACTCCTAGTAGTCCTTTATATCTCTGCAGCTGTCATCAATGTCCAGAGCTTCTCTCTTACCCTTCATAGTGCGTTCCTGATATAGATTCAGGGGGAGTGGAATTTTAGGGCCTGTTTAGTTTGCGTTTTAAAAAATAGTATTCAAAAACAGTTTTTGAGAAGAGTTTTAAAAAAGGGTTTTTAAAAAATTTTAGATTACAAAACCTGTTTGGTTATATATTTTTGAAAATAGTTTTAAAAAACAAAAAATTGAAAACTTGTTTGGACAATTATCCACAACCCTCAAATTTTCATCTCCATTCACTATCTTTCCCGTCTCTCCATTTTCTCCTTTCAATCTCCACCCACATAACACAAACCCCACACAACACACACAATCAATTGCCGGAGAAGATGAGACAGACAGCAAACGAGACACAGACAAAAGATTGAAACAAATCTGAAGCAACCCAGATCGATATACAGTCGTCGAAGTTGCTTCAATTCGCCAGAGTTCCTTCACTTCAATACTCAGTCGTCGGAGTTGCTAAGATTCGTCGGAGTTCCTTCGCTTTGTCGGACTTGCTTATTGCAGTCGACTGCGAGAGATATCAAGAGAGAGGTTGAAGGAGTCCATCGGGCTCAAGAAGACGAGCCTCTGTGTGTGTTCGTTTTGAATCGCATATTTGAAAGAATTTATTTTTCAATATTTTCAAATTTCACATACCTATTATAGTTTAATAAATCAATATATATACCTAATAAAAAAATAATAAACTCTTACTTTCAAAGATATAATTCTCAAATCAAATCACATAAAAATAATATTTTGATATTAGCATCATTAAATTATACGTGTACAACGCGTCATCATCAAATAATAGGAATGAACAAAAAAAGTTATCATCATGTTTTCAAATTGTATCCTAGCAACTAGACAATGATACCCTCTCGAAAAAAAGTAATTGCATAACAATCAAGTCTCGACTATATTTTCATTTTTGGCAAGTTTTTAGATCTTTCGTCTTTAGTCTTTGGAGGCGAGCCTTACAAAATTGTTTTCAGAGCTTCCACTGGTTTGTACCTAACATAAATTAACCAACATTAATAGAAATTCATTGAAGAAAATCAAGAGAAGACATATTGGAGATGATTCAAATATATATCAAGACTACATAACTAGTTTTCTCAATGTAAAAATATTATACTAGCCAATAGAAATTCTAATCTACC